CTCTCCCAATCCACTTGACGATCCACCCATTGGGTTGGCGATGGATCCTGCACCTTGCTAGGTTCTGGAACTTTGGGAGAGCTGGGTTCGTCGCCCAAGACCTTGGGCGATCCGCCGACTGGTCCTGGCTCGCCAAAAGGGACTCATGTGATCTTACGGCATGGAATCCTTTGTTTGCCACCAATACAAGCCCAAGAGCCTCCATCCCTGTGAACAACTCTTCAATACATTGGATTCCTAAGCTTCTCAAAAAGTCAAAGGTCTGGAGGTAATCCTGATTGCATTATGAGTCATGCAGGTGTTCGTCTTTTTGAGAGTGAGAGTTGTATTCGATTCCGGGACTTTAAATTTTTTAAGAATTATGTGTGAATGTGGAATCATCTTTTTTGTGAGGGCATTTGAGTACCTTTGTTGAACTTGAACAGGCATTTGAAGCAAGCATTGTGAACTTGAGTACCCTTGATTATGGTGAGTCACAATTTGAATCTTTGAGTGCACAATTGAGCATCGTATGTGTAGTTTGAACCTTTTGTGTGCATTCATGTTAAGTCTTTAGCAGCACTTTTGTAAAGAGCCTTGTAGAACCAATTGATCTCAAGTTTTACTTGAGGACAAGCAAAAGTTTAAGTTGGGGGTGTTGGTGCGTCCGAGATTTGGACTCTTTTTAGGGCTTTGTTTTGATAGTTTTAGTGTCCTCAAATGCCTAATTTATTCTATAAACTGATGTTAAAGCATTGAGTTTTAGGCATGTAAGCTAAGGAGAAAGGCAAGGACACTACCAGGCAAAAAGGAGCAAAACAAGTTGAAGAACTGAAGAAAAGCGATCATGGTGATCGCCAAGACCACTCGGCGAATAGCCGAGTGGCTCGTTAGCTTGCCCAAAGTTCCAGTGTGCCTGCCCTAGGGAGAAAAGCCAAGTTGGCGACAAAAATGGGCATTCAGCGAATCGTCGATCCACTCCTCGATGGCAACCTTGATCGTTTAAAGTCACTGGACCCTGAGGACAACTGACCAATGCAAACCGGCAATGGATTGGAGCAAACGAGGGATCGCCGACATGTTCGGCGAAGCCCGATTTATCTCGCCCAATCAATTTTCAAGACAAAAATTGAGCAACTATAAATTGAAATTTGAACTGAAGATTTATGAGGAGATCATCATACAATTCCTACAATCATTCAGTAGAGTTTTCTTTTTAGTTTTAGCGTTCCATTGTAGACTTTGAATCTTTGAGGCTCAAACTTGAAGATTTGCAAGTGGGTTTTTGAATTTAACCATTTTGGAACATTGTAAAGGCGTGGAAACTATTACCCAGTTGATGGCTAATCTAGTTGGTAATTGTTTTTACCTTTTTATGATGTTTAGCTAAAACCCCAATTCTTGGGGTGTGATCATGTGATTATGGGATGAATTAGCTTATGGGTATTGTTAATTACTAATTTAATTGCTTGATTAAAGTGGCTTTAATCATTAGCTATGTTTTAATCTATGAATTGTAGTTGCAAATGCAATTCTAATTTTGAGTTCTTAGCTTGCTTGAGAGAGAAGTTTTGGAACCAAAGCTTTTGATTAATGATTTGTAAGCATTGGGTTGATATGGGTTCAGCTCGAGAGAGTGAATCCTAAACTCAATCCTACCCATCTAGCTCGAGATAGTGGATGTATTAAGGTGTGGGTTGTTCCTCTTTTCTAAGCTTGTTGATGTTCGAAAGAAATCACTTGAAACATGATAGTTGTTGGAGAGAAAACTATTTCATTTATAGTCTAGCCTACACACTGATATTTAGCTAATCATTAGTAGTTTCAATTACCCATATAGTGAAATTGGCTCTATAATCGATCACATCCCGAGAACTCCTCTCTATATTGTTATTTCCTTAGTGTTTAATTGTGTTTTAGCTGATAATTGCAAATCCGAACCCTCCCATCTGACATTCGTTGTCACCCCTTTAGATTTGTTTGTATGTTTTCAATAATTTCTATTCATATAACTTATTAGACCACGTTTGCACTTCATAATTGAATTTGAACACGTACCCTTTCCTGTGGGTTCGACCCAACCTTTCGTTGGGTTTTATACTAGTTAATGATCGTTTACACCTAGAATTGGATGAGGTGTACTTGAAACGTTACATCACATTTGCATTAAAATCAATTAGGCATTTTATTTCGACCATAATTCATGTGTGTTGTTGACACCCAAATTTGGACCTCCACAATAGATTAATCACCGAGCTTATTCAATTTCAAACGATTTTAAATGATTTGTTTTAGAACATCTCAAAGAAAAAAATAGTTTGCAAGTTATTTTAAATATTACCGTCACTTTTTATAATTTTGAATAATATATATGTTTTATATAATTATGTATATAATTAGTATATTTTATAAATATTTGAAAATCACCTCAAAAGATTTTGCATTTTTTGTTAATTATTTTATTAACTAGTTGATTTACCCACGCTTCGCGCGGGCATAAATAATCTTTCTAAGCTTTTGAACAACTTTTCCAATAATCGACTGTTATAAGAAAAAAAAAATTAGTAGGTTTTAAGAACATTTCAACATAAATTAAATGATTTGACATTATCACATACCTCAAAAATTGTAAATATATAATGAATGATTAAAAATATCTTGATATCTAATCATTTTTATCTTTTACATAATTTATCATAATATATGTTTGATGATATAATTGTCTTGTTAAAACTGAGTGATGTTTTTATGTAGCGATTAAACATCACTTTTTCTATTTTTTTGTACATGAAAAATATA